CCGCAGACTGGAGCAGCCAGTGTGGTGGTGGGATGGCAACGAGGCAACTTAGTATGAGTCACGCTCAAGGCCACAGACTGCCTCATGGGATGGAAATCACTCATTTATAGCAAAACGCGATCGATGCGGATCAGAAAACGATTGGGTGAGTAATTTATAATAGTACGATGTAATACACTCGTAAGTTCCTTTTTCCAAGACACTGAACTTACTTCCTTCTTTTTCAGGCAGTTCAAACAAATATTCTGTCCGCGTATAACAAAGGATACTTTAATAGGAAAGATCTGTATTATCTAGATCTGTATTCGAAGCCAAGACAACTATCGAATATTCTCTACAAATATGAGAAACAACTGGTTATTAGACAGATAAAACTACACATTTTGGCCAAAGATAATATTGATAATCTCTTCCTTGTGCCGTAATTGCATTACACATATCAAATCAATTATACAGATTTGATAATTGAAGCTTTTGTTTATCATTAACACGTTTTTTGTGGTACAAGCGTAGACCATCAGATTATCTACTATGTGTTCTAGTGAAAAAATTGTAACAGGGTTTACAATTGATACAAAAAAAAAGAAGCATTTGATAAATTTTGAAGTAACAAGTTACCATTCGTTTTATAATGAATTATTGCATCCAAATAATTGGATTGCGATTACTTGTAATAATAGGCTTTGTATGACAGAATATATTTGATCATGTCATAGTTAATTATACTACAGACAATATCAGCATTTCAATTTGAAATAGCATTTTTTGTTACATTATAGCTCCGAATGTCGAATGATGTACCCTGGACCACGTTCTGAAATCTGTCAAAAAATATAATTCTTCTGTATCTGCAGAGCATTGATATATATTAATAATTATTGTATATTAATAATATTTTAATATTGATACATTAATAATAGATTTTTTTTCTAAAGCTTGAATTTTTAATACTGATCATTTTTGTTATTTTACTTTTTTTGCATCTTAAGTTGTTCTTTCTTTATTTTATCGAATAATTTTTTAAAGAAAATAATTATTTATAGTGAATATATTTTTTAGATTTTAGAAAGTAGTCTAGAAGACTAATGTAGGCGTCTACTTCCAATCGACTGTATGAGACACGTAACAAATTGCAGACTGTGATGTAACATGAAATTTTGATTTAGCTGCTAAACAATTACATCTCTTAGTGTAAACATGCACTAGATGCATGTATAGCAGATAAATTATAATTTTACGGCTATATGCCTATTGTTCCGTACGATTACAGAAAAAACTGAGCGAAGAGAAAATACTCTTTTTCGAGAAAAATATTTTATATCGCATAAATTTATGATCAGCTAATCAGTCAGCTACTTTTTAATTATATTTTCTATAAGCAAATTAAACTTATACGGATCAACGTTGTTTCTTCGCGAAAATTTTGGTACGGATCTCACGCATTTGAGGTATCTGTATCTATATTAATTATATTTTTATGATTAAAGGAAATCAATGTCGATGATATAGTATTTAATTATTAATTTATTTATTTGTCATTATTGTTCAACTGCAGATTAAATTTACTGCAATGATTAAAAAACGATGTTTTTTTAACTTGTGAATATTAATGAAAAATGAGTATAATTATTTTAAAAATATATTTAACATTAAAATATATATAATATATAATATTATATTATAATTCATATATTTTGTTACGTAATATATAAAGAGTATTTTAAAGTTATTAATTTCCTAATTATTTATCTAAAAAATTTACTTGATCACACAGATACCTCAGAGCGATTTTATAATTAATTTGTAAATTTATATATAATATTGTATGATATAATGTGCTGGGAAAAGAATGTTGTAAGCGCGGAATGACGAGTCATTGTGAATGCTGTGTACGTTTTCTACAATGCTACAGTTTTTTTAAACGTAATTTCGAGGACGTAGATTAAGATAGTATGCTGTATCACGCATGTGATAAAATATTTGTAAAATCTTTCGAAAAATGTAACGTTAACAGAGGACTTCTCTTTTTGAACATAATTCTAGAGACGATTTAAACAAAGAATGTTATGTATATATGCTATGTTGAAGACGATGGATAAGTATGTGAATTTGTTAGTTATGACAAACTTATATTCGTGCGTTTGACACGAATAGGATGTTGTAAGACATTGTTAATAAACAATTTCGGAACAAATGTGAGATGTACGAATTATTTCACATCCTGAGAAACCAGGTCAACCTGTCCGACCCTTGGATCCACGAGTTTCTGCTAATTCTTAAGTACGCAATGATATCCGTAGTGCGTTTGATAAGGGCCCGCATGTTATCAAGGTAAACAATGAATCTAGGACGTCATATATACAACGGTTGCTTCCCAAATAACTTACATTTCATGTATGCAAATTAAATACCCATATCCCGTTACTCCTCTCATGCTATGATACTGGAAAAAAACGGCGCCTATAAAAAGTCGAATGACTGAGCCGGAGAGCACATTTCGTGCGAAGCGCAACGAAGTTGATACAAGCGGCACCCTTCGAAGTACCATCGCAGAAACAGGTAAAAGGATAAACTAATATTTTTCACGAATCTGTCGTAGAAATTCATTTTCTGAATTGATCGTGTGAGTCGATTTCTCTTAAAGAATTAAAGAGCGAACTATAACGTTTCTCTTTTTTTATCTATAATGTTTTGCAAGTAAGTAATTGATCACTGATTCGCACGTGCAAAATGATAATCGTGCATCGATATTGTTTACAAAGAAAATCACACGCGAAAGAAGATTCGACACTCGTGATTTTGCAATCAATACATCGCCGGACAGAATATGCAACAATCTTGCACGATTATTATTCGAATAAGAAGAAATTATCTGTCATCTATAATTAGGTGACAAGACTGCATTTTATCAAGATTTAATTATTCAAAGATTAACTGTAATTGAGAATTCGCGATTAAAGACACGATTAAGAACGACATCGCAATAACTAATCGACATAAAAAACTTTACGATAAGACAATGGAAATCGAAGACACATATTCGATAAGAATACAAATATGTATATGTACGATAACTGTGTAAAAAAATTTAAAAAGTATCGAAGTATACCTGACAATTGAAATAATGCAATAAAATTATTTGAAATCAAAGAACTAAATATGAAATTTAATCGGCTCTTTTTTTGCATTGATAATTTATTTATCGAAAGCAAACATATTATTTGTAAAAAAAAAGTAAAATTGTTTTAGAGTAAACTTGTTTGACAGGAAATAAAATCATATTATTACTTTATACGCAAATAAAAATTGATTTAATAATTATTCAACGATATATCCATTTAATTTATGTTTCGTATGTATTACAAGTATTTTAAATTGTATACAAACTGATTTAATATTGAAAAGTTTGACTTTTGTTTAAATCTATATAAAATTTGATTTTTATATACTTGCGAAACCGCATAACATCGTATCGTTCTTTGTGAATTGATTTTATGAATATACAGAGCTCACGTAAGGTGTTACAAGCTAATAACTCTAAGAACATTTGTCCTATCAAAAAGGTTGTTCTTGAGAAAGTTTCATATATTCGAGAAGCTTTTCTTATAACGTAAATAAAAATCCATCCTTGTCCCCTCTTGAAAAGGGGCATCAAAGTTTCAAATGGAACCCCCTGTAAAATGTTACATATTTGGATTTTACAGGGAAAAACAAGTAATCTTTCTGAAACATTTCTTTAAAAAATACTCCTATCAAAAGTTATGAACATTTAAACTTTAATGTAGAGTGCATTGAAATTAATGATAAATTAAATAAGACTCATAGTTTTTCTGTTCTTTTTATTTTACTAAATGTTCAAATTGTTGATCATTAACATCTAAACACTTATTAATTCTTTTTATAAAACTTTGCCTCACTCTAAGTAACATTTCTGAAGTCACCTTAGTACAAGCAATACGTATTCTTCGTTTTAAATTAACAAATATTTTTAGAGTTATTAGGTTGTAAAACACTTTACGTGGATCACCCTGTATACATATACAATATTCCAGCTACCTATTTAACTGTAAAATCAGGACGGTAAGTGTCTTCATAAAGTCTCAAACGTAAATAAAATCTAAAGACAATATTTTGAAGCTAAATTGAAGACAACAGCAATGCAACTACAGATTGATGCCAAACGCAGATCAGATTCTGATCTCTGATATAAAACGAGTGTTCTTGATAAAATAAACTCTTGCGTAATACTGATATTTTACAATAGCAAATCTGCTTACAATTTACCATTAATTTGTCTTTATGTGTTTGATATAACTATTTGTTGTTTATCTGTAAAAGCTGTCATATATTTCATCCAACGGAGATTATTGCACATTTATGATTAACAATAATTTATTCTTGCAGAAAACATCTTCTGGAATATATTTTTTATTATATTTAGATTCATGGAATGGAAGAGTTACTTTTACAGTTACTTTTATAGTTATTTTTTATAACAATGTGGTAACAATGTGGTAACAATGTTGCAATATTTTTTTAACTGTAATGATAACTAACTAAACGCTTAAGAGGCTAAAATAGTTTTAGCGTTTAGTTAGTTATCATTACAGTCATAAAAAGTTCCCTGAAAATTTAGAATATACGTTTTATTTACTATAAAATATTTTATAATATATATATACGAACACACATAAAAAACCAGAAAGAATAGTTCTAGCTTAATTATAAAGTACTCGTGAATAATTGTATATGTTCAATTTAAACGTATGATAAGCTACTGAATGACTAATAGTGACATGCCGTCTTGATATTGAGTGCGCAACACGGATTAAAATGATAAGTCCATTCTTTTCAACCTAATCTGACAGACAGAAAAACGATCTTAGTTTGATCGATTGGCGTGATTTTTTTCTAAAAGTGTCCTATAAATGTGTGTTGATTGTTATTGGTGCCGTGTGCATCCAGTATTTAAATACAATGAACGAAAAGTAGCTCACAATCACAAGTGTTTCTGTCTCCGAAAGGTAAGCTGATCAGTTAGAGATGATATTCCTAAATGAAATCGAGCATCTAATCGATGACAATAATCATCAACTATCATTATTTTTCTTCAAAAAAATTATATGTATTGTCTAATTATAACAAAAAGGAAAATTCGCCATAATTATGTCGATTAATAATTAATAAAACTTAATCTCACTCGCATTAAAATTATGTGAAATATTCAATTTTGTACAGAATCGTTATGTGGAAGATAATAGTGTTGTGCGCGGTCGTGAGCCTGGCGACTGGCCAGAAGGCTCTTTACGACAATTACAAGGTCTTTAGAATGATCCCGACCACAAAGACGCAACTCGACATTCTGCACGAAATGGAAAATGTTTATGATGGAGTGAGTAAATTTATTTTAAGTTACAGATATACGTTTATTGCAAATTATAAAATTAATTTAAAATTTGTATAAAAATAATATGATCAAGTTTTAAAATCTTAGAAATGTTCTAAAATTCTAAAAATCCTGCAAAACTGTAAAGTTACTTAATTAGCAAATGGTTTGCAAACTCGAAAATAAAAAAATAAGCAAATAATACTTTAACTTCAAGATTAAACTTGATAGCTGAATTTCAATTCTTATAAGTGAGATTAAATATTCTTCACAGTTCTCCTTCTGGGATTCTCCGACTATCGTGAACAAACACGTGGATCTGATGGTTGCTCCGCACAAGTTGCCTGAATTCTACGAGAAGATGACAGAGATCGGTATACCCTATCAGACGCACATCAACGATGTCCAGAAGTTGATTGATGAAACAGTCCCTAAGACTCAGACTCGGTCAGGATCGTTTGATTTCACCAATTATCACACTCTCGACGAGATCTATAAGAATCTAGATGACCTGGCCAAACAGTATCCCGACAAAGTGCAGACCGTCGTGGCCGGCCAAACGTACGAAGGGCGCGAGATTAAAGGTGTTAAGGTTTCCTTTAAAGACAACAACCCCGGAATTTTCATCGAGGGTGGCATTCACGCCAGGGAATGGATCTCGTCGGCAACCACCATGTACATCCTGCATCAATTGCTGACCAGTAACAATACAGACGTCAGAGCTCTAGCTGAGAGTCACGATTGGTACATCTTCCCTTTGTTCAATCCCGATGGATATGTGTACACCCATACTACGGTAGAAACTGAGTTTCATAACGTTACAGAAATCATGATTAGTTTAACAATTAATTTTATCTGCGTATTTCTTTTTGGACATTTTCAGAATCGACTGTGGAGGAAGACGCGTAAACCGTACGGTTTCTGCAAAGGCAGCGATCCCAACAGAAACTGGAACTACAAATGGAACAGTAAGTACCCAGATCTTTAGCGAGCAATAAGCTCTCTCACACACACACACACACACACACACACACACACACAGTCAAGAATAAAATGTTAGAAGCGTCCAGGTTGTGGATGTTTGATAATATATTCTAAAATTTCCAGATTATTCCGAAAATTTTTAAGAATTCTTAAAACATTTAACATTATTATTATTAAATATTTTTAGCTGGAGGTTCCAGCAGGAACCCGTGTGCTGAAACTTTTGCCGGAAGTGCACCCTTCTCCTGCATAGAAACAAAGAGCGCATCCGAATACATCAAGTCGATTTCCGATAAATTTTACCTTTATATAGCATTCCACAGCTATTCGCAATTATTGTTGTTCCCATATGGTCACACAAGAGCTCATCTTGAAAACTACGACGATTTGGTAAAAAAAAAACTTTGTTCTAAAGAAACATAGAAAATCTTTCACAAAAAACATTTCATAAATTAATAAAACGTTTTTTCCTCTTTATAATTATTTCTTTCATATTATCACTTTATTATCAAATTAATATTGTGCGTCGTTCTTATTCTTCGAATTCAAAATGATTGACAATAATCAATCTTATCGTTATTATTTTGTCATTAATATCAGTCTGTAATAATAATAATTTCTATAATCTTTATATTTTCAGTACGCCATTGCCAAAAAAACGATTACAGCTCTCAAACAGAGATACGGAACCTCATATGTAACCGGAAATGTTGCTGAGGCAATCTGTAAGTGTAGAAAAAATTTTTAATTTAATTTACTTCTATATTTCTATTATCTCAAAGACTACTTGAACATTTTGTAATTATCTGAAGTGATTTGTCAGAATATTAAGAGTCGCTCTTTTTATTTTTATTACTTTAAACTCTAAAGTATAATCCGTTAATTGGGTAAATAATGTAACTATCGCATTTCGAGATTGAAGTAATCGTATTTATAAAAAAATACACAATTTTTTCAATTTGATATTCTTATTAAATTACTTTTTAGACATAGCTACTGGCAGTAGTATGGATTATGTCAAAGGCACTTTTGGTACACCTATCGCCTACACTTACGAGTTACGTGATACAGGTCGTTACGGCTTTTTGTTGCCCCCTGCACAGATTATTCCGACTGGAGAAGAGGTTGTAGACTCACTCGTAGCAATGTCTAAAGAGGCAGCGGCGCGTGGATATTACAAAAAATAGCAACATAATTAATTTATTGTAAATACTTTACTATTTCGATGTATGATATATTTAATTTTAATTATTTGACAAAGTACAAATCCCGCTTTCCCATTTGCTTTGTAATCTGATAGCAACAATAAATTTTTGAATCTATAACTTAGCATTATTATTCAATGTAATACAATTTTCTCGACTGAATTTAGGTAAAAATTCACCTAATTAATTATTTAATTAATTATAAAAGTTAAATATAATTAATTATATTTAATTAGTTAATTAATTATAATAATACCGCCTGGACACAATATATGTATATATACATACACAGTACAGAATAATTACAAAATATTTTATAAATATTCTGTGCTATGTGTATGTGTGTGTGTATCTTGGGCGTGCGCGATATAATAATTATTTATATATTTTCAAACAATTATTTTTTATTAAATGTGAACGAGTAGCTAGAATGAAAATTATAAATTACTTAATCAAAAAATAAACACGCGATTGTTAATTTTTTTGGACAGTTTTATTTAAAAAATCTTATACATAGAATTTACATATCCATGCATCTTTTATTCGAAAAATTTTAAATTGTATCTATAATAGAAATATATTCAATAGTAGTAATTTGTCGAAACTTGATATAAAAATCATTTTAGTCATGTGTTATAAAATCAGTCAATTATATTATATTATAAGAGATTTATTTATATTATATATTTTGAATTAATAATATATACAAGCTCTCTCTCTTAAATGAGATTTGTATATCTACAACATATGTTTATATAACAAATAAACAATAATGCCTATATATTATATATGCTTATAGTTAATAAAATGAAAAGTAAGAAATAAATGAAAATACATGTACGTGTAAGTACTTTCTTTAGGCACTGCCAGTATTGAATCTCTATATAACATTACGTAACTGAACTATATACATTTACTAATCCATTTTCAGTAGTTCATGATGTGTTATGTAATACACTATAAAATTTCAATACTAGCGGTATATCAGAACGCGGCCTTAAAAGATGAGGCAACTAGAATTCTGTAGCCTCTGTCCGCACTATACTTTGATTTAAGCTTCACACATACTTCTCATAGGAACACTACACTATAGGTAAAAGAGACAATCAATCAACATATCAGCTAAAGTTCATTTGAATTGATTTGAATGTCGCTTCAGTGTCCGCAGTGTGTCCACATGTTCATCAGTTAAGTTGGTCACAATGTTTGAAATAACCTTCAGAAGCAACTTCAGACTTTAGACTTTGCTCTCGTTTAAAGGATTGTTATCTGATTTGTCAGTGACATTAATTAAGAACAATAGCTGTATAATATTAATTCTTTTCGTTGTGCAAAAATGGCGCGTGTGCTTGTAGGTGTAAAAAGAGTAATCGATTATGCAGTGAAGGTAATGTCTAACATAATCTTTATATTGTAGGTATATATTAAGGAAAAATCATAACAATATAAAGTCTAATATTTTTTCTAATAAGTAATGCATAGTAAACACTGTAATATTACGTCTATAATTCTATAATAAACTAAGATTTTCAAAATGCTGACTTATATTGATAAATAAAAAACATATTTTATATTTTGTTCATATTCTTACAGATTCGTGTGAAACCGGATAAATCCGGGGTAGTTACAGATGGTATTAAACATTCAATGAATCCTTTCGATGAGATAGCTGTGGAAGAAGCAGTCAGAATGAAGGAAAAGAAAATAGTTCAGGAAATAATAGCAGTTAGTTGTGGACCAACACAGTCGCAGGATACAATCAGGACTGCACTCGCTATGGGTGTGGATCGTGGAATTCATGTAGAAATATCCGGTCCCGAATATCAGATATTGCAACCCATTCATGTCTCAAAGATACTAGCCAAACTGGCACAGGATGAGAAAGTGGATTTGGTGATACTTGGTAAACAAGCCATAGACGATGATAACAATCAAACCGCACAAATGACTGCTGGTATTTTGGATTGGCCATCTGGCACTTTCTGCAGCAAGGTAAAAAGTCGATAAAATTTTATCATGTTGCAAGATTATCTTAATCTTTTCTTTTATCCAGATTGATAACAATAATGGCGAATTGACTATTACACGCGAGATTGATGGTGGCCTAGAAATCGTTAAGATGAAAACTCCAGCAGTTCTTAGTGCCGATCTTCGCCTGAATGAACCACGATACGCGACTTTGCCAAATATTATGAAGGCTAAGAAAAAACCCATTAAGAAAATTACTGTAAAAGATCTTGGAGTAGACGTGACACCAAGAATTGAAATACTGTCAGTAGAAGACCCACCAGTTAGGCAGGCTGGTGCTATATTGCCAGACGTGGACACTTTGATAGCCAAATTAAAAGAAAGTGGCCACGTTTAGCAAAGCCATAGGATAATTGTAAAAATAACAAAAGTTATCTTTTAACTGTTATATTTTGATAACTTGTTTTGTATATAGTATAATGCTTTTGTACATCGTCAGAAATTGTATATGATATATATATATTTCAATATAAATTTGTACCGCAAAACGCGTGTGCGCTCATAGGGAGAAAAGAAAGTTAAATATAATTAGGGATATACGTTTAATAAAATACTGCCTATAACACGAATTTTATACATATATACGTACATATACATAGGTATATGTATGTATATACATACATGTAAAAATATGTCATACTTTTTTTTATCAATGTTTCACAAACGAATGTTCAATCTATTTTAAAAGCGGAACAACATTGGACATATTTCTGAAATGGTATTTTACCTAAATATATACATATAAACGTTATTTTGTAAAAGGTAACATCAATAACGATACTATAAATATATCCTTGTTCTGTGCATCAAAGTTTATCTGATGCAGATGTCATTACGTTAAATTCAATGTCACATTTAATTGACACACGTTCTAAATTTTCCAAGAAATGGTAATAAAGCTCGCATGGAACATTTTTCTATCGACAGAGACTATGAATAATGTACATAAGAGCACCTTATTAATTTCTCTGTAGTTCTACTTTAATATAAGCTACCTATCCATCAAAGAGACATTGTTGATTATTACAACTAGTAAAAACACTTGTATCTCCATCAAATACTTAATCCAGAAAAATATTTTAGTTTTGTTTTCATAACTTACTATATCTATCAAATTAACAAAAAAGTTACATGTTTTAAATAGGTGATGAAGAAAATTACCTTCTCGTAGCAACTTCAACTTGTATATGCATTATTTTTAGTCGGAAGAAACATAAATTATGGAAGAAATCAAACTAGTTATTTGTGTGAATTAACTTTCTCTTCATTAAAAATCATACAATAATATAAATAAACGTTTCGATCTTTCGTTTAAGTTCTCATCATTTGTAAATTCTAATACTTCGATTAAATTTATACTGATGAGAACCTAAACGAAAGGTAGAAACGTTTATTTATACTGTACGATTTTTATATTGTATGATTTTTAATAAAGTTACTTATAATTCTAGTGTTGGCTCACATTGGCAATAAATTTACATATATTTAGATTTAATCTCTTGAGTCTGTTTTTATAGAATTGATAGTAAATTATGTCTTCTTGGAGGAAATCATCAAAATATACCTATTATTGACAGACATATTCAAAACTTATGTATCTGTATTAGTAGTTCTGATTTAGACTTAATACTTTCCTATGTTGAGGCCTTTATTCGAAAGGAATGAAACAAGACGTAACAGATGCGTTGCCTCTAAAGCAAGGTCTAAAAACAGACTATCACTTGTTACTGGAACTTTTATGAAAACAACAAAAACACAAATATTGCTCATATTCCTTTGGTAGATACGTAGCTTAAATCTTATAATATGTTAAAGAGAGAAAATATTATGTATGTGATAGATACATGAATATTATAATATAATCAGAAAATAGAGATTATTTTAAAATATTATATATATATAAATACTACCTTCTTTTTAAATTCTTTGTTTAGTGCTTCATCCAAGACACGGCAAGAAAATGCGTCCAATCAAGACTAGTATGTCGCTTATATATTTAGCGGATTGGTATAACACGATACCAATAACATATTGGCTAGTATTTGTTCTATATATCCATAATTAAAGAGTAAACTATACCTCAATACCCGTATTAATCATAATTCGAGGAAGTAAAATGTTCAACTGCGTGCGCGATCGACTAGCTTTTATCATATTTATCAATATTATTATACACCAATGAGATATCCTTCTGGAAAAAGTTTTTTTCTTAATTCGTTGAATATTTTAGTGTTATCGACATTAGATAAAGCCCTGCATAAAAATTCATTGTATCGTAACAGTCTTATATTTATATAGGCTTTGTAAAGTGTCTTCCTCAACAAAAGCTCGTGCAATATTATTACATTAAAACCTTCCAATCGAATCTGCTATTACTGGTATGAGTGATTGGTGGGAAGGGAGGAGGATGAAGCTGCCAGCCGTTAATATCTTGACGTGCCGTCAAACATGCCAAATAAGGTACTCTTTGAACTAATCTAGTGACTTCAGCTGCCGGGGGTATTCTACCACCGGTCAACTGTCTGGTACAAGCAGCCAGGGAGGCCGCATGCGCTACTATCAAAATATTACCAACGGTGCTCTCTATAATCTTCTTGATCAGATCATAACTGCGTTCATAATACTGCGCGGCGTTCTCTTTTAGTGGAAGCTCTTTAGCCTTCACGATCGGATCGTAATCGGTGTCCACATTAAAACCCGCTTTTACCAACTCCTCGGAGGTCATCCAAACGGGTATACCGTTTGGATACCATGCCAACCATTCTATCAAGCCTGGCTCTACTTTGACTGGAATATCGGACTCTAATCCTTTTAATATATGGGCGAGCGTTTGAACGCAACGTAACGAGGGCGACGTGAAGGCTACATCTATCTTAATACTGGACGATTTCATGGCTTCGCCTACCAAAGTTGCCTGCATCTCACCTACAGTTGTCAGCGGGCTATCGTTTTGGAAATCCTGGATATTTCTAGATGGTACTTCTTTGGGCATGTTCAAGTCACGACGTACATAACAACCATTCGACTCAAAGCAATACGGGATCCATGCGCCGAAGGTAAAATCTACTCTCTCGCCGTGTCGACATATGAAGATCTCTCTAAACGGTGTTTCCGGCGCTTCCGACGCTGCCATCTACTCAAAAACAACAGATTATAAATTCGTCGATGTGATTTTCTACGAGATATATTTTATATATTTATATAAAATATATAAATTACCGGCTCCTCTGCAATGGGAATCCCATCAGGAGTATCGATGGAATCGCTTGGAGACAAAACTGGTGGTCTTCTAACTTTCGGTATCTCCTCCTCCTCTGCGCTTTCGTATTTATTGTCGGTAATCGGCACGGTGGCATGCAACGTCCACGAGTCCGATTCCGCAGTCCTCTTGGTATGATTCAACGGCAAATGACCCGATATACCGGTCAACCAAGAGACGCCCTCCACCCAACCGTCGGTGGACGCGTTACACGCTCCTTCTGGAACGTAAATGTAATCGCCTACTCTTAACTCTAATTCGTCGTGCTCTCGTGGAACGTGGGCGTGTGTCACTTTGTGCACGTGCGAATTCTGTAATCTCGAATCTCTTGAATATAATCTGAGCTCCCAGTTGGCCAATGTATTTGGTCCTAGTTTCTCGACCATCAAGCGGAGAGGTTGAAACAAGCTGCTGGGAAACTGATAAGCCAGCGTAAGATGCAGAGACTTCACTTGTGGTTCGGCAGTGATACCTAAAGCGGCAATTTTATTAACATAGCGAAGAGCGATGTTCTTCAACCACTCTGCATTCACATCCTTAACAAAGAGGCCCATAAAGTTAGGTGACACATATGTTTCTAGCTCGATATGTTCGTGCAATCCATCCTGATGAACCACATTCTCAAGAGTATGTACTAATTCTTTTGTAAACTCATCAGGGGCCTACAAAAATATTTAAAAATAACAACATGCGTATTTGAACACAGATTTTTAAGATGTCGAAGACAAATATATCATCAAATATACATAAAATATCTTACGTCAAAGAAGGAGACAAGAGTAATATGTGGTATAAAGTTATGAGCACCGTTCCATCCCAGGTCTTTACTCTCCGACCAAAACAGCTCTAATTGTTCAGCTAACGGCCCAGTAGGGCAAGCATATAAAACATATTGCCTTTGAGTGTCAGAGTCCAGAGTCGGATCTCTCACATGAGCCAACAACCAATCCGATGCTAACTGTACGCCACGGTGTCCCGTTGCAGCCAACGCCTTTTCCCTGAGAATAAACAATTTTCATCAGCAATGTGCTGTTACAAGTATAAATTATCCTAACGTTTTCTTAACAAATAAGCATATCAAGTATATGCATGTTTCAGTATCAGAACTGCCAGCAATGTTTCAGGAAGAACAGCAACTTTGGGTAACGCAAAGAAATACGCCTTGTTCAAAGGCCGGAGATAGACTGTTTCGTCTAAGCATCAACCGAGAACAAAGTGAATTCGCTCATGAATTAGGTCTATAGAGGTATTCAAAGCTACGTTTGACAGCTGTTTGTTTACAGTGGGTAGGCGACGTGTGTTTACGCGGGACAACGTGTGCCACGTGAGCGGCACCGTTAAACACGACCCCTTGTGTTCGCGGGGCCATACATACGCCCGATGTTTCGGGAAGCCCAGCTGCAGAAGCGTTTGCAACGGCGTCAAGTGCTGCTTCGAAATTTTTGTGGGAGTCGGATTTTTCCGCGGCGGCAGCGTCGCCATGACGGCACATTACTGCGTTCGCCCAGGCTGGCCAATCACCGCGCGACTTTCCGCGGTACAAATGCAAAGGAGAAGAACAATTTTTGAAATGCCCGACCATCGATCGAGGCGGGACCGTTCAGTGACGAAAGTGGAATGCGATGATGTACGATATCCGGAGAATGTTCCCGGATACAACAATCGTGGAGCATCGTGGAAAACAGTTGACGATATTTTGGTTGTTTGCCCTGAACATCATATCAGATATCAGATAAGCGATATAAATCTCCTTGAACGCGTAAGATATCACAATTCGCTTGATCAGAGATCTTTATTAAAGACTTAATTCGAATTAAATTCAATGTTAATAATTAAATTATTTTAGAACTTGAATATTAATTGAACAATTTCATGAAATAATTTTGATATAAGCAATTAAATTAAATTAATTTATTAATTATAATAAATAAAGAATATATTCAAATAAATTTATAATTACTGAGTAAGATTAACTGCTTAATTATATATCTTTAAAAAATTTAACGAGATAAATTCACTGGTAATCGGATGATTTTAAGGATTAAATATTAATTTATTTTAATAAAATTAATTAAAAATCGATATAATTTTTTTTATCAAAATAGAGTAAGTTGGATGATATAATTTTTTAATTGAAGTTCCACTTTTCATTTCAAATATTTTTCTTGTTCTTCAATATAAAAAATTTTTCTTTTATAGTTAAAGTTTCATTTTCAATTAAAAAATTTCTCTTCTCTTTCAATATAGAAATGATATAGGAAATCAGTAAAGCAGTCGGTTTAAGATTTCAGATATTGAATCTCATAACTTATATTTCATTCTTTCTTCTTTTTCATCCCGTACTTTTCGCAACAACTTTAACAACAACACACAATTGATGCGATTATTATCTAGAGTTAGTGTAAAAAAAAAAAAGAGAAAAAACGATGACACGTGGATTTTATATATTTTTGTTTTGCATTCGTTACGGCATCCTGTTACAAACACTCTTCACGCTGCAGTATTTCAGTACAGAAGTAATAAAAAAGTTATAGTGTATACATATATATATCTCTCTATATATATAATATTTATATATAAAATAGGTAAAATAAAACGTAATATACACGTTATTGCTCGTCTTTTATGGGATTCTTCGCTCGCAATTCATACATTTTTTTATACACCGTGTTCTAAATAAATTGATTTGGACTCACAAGCATAGATTTATAATAACAATTTTTTCCGCGCTCGTCTCAGAAAATTTCTAATGCGTGATTCTCTTATCTCTCCTCTCCAATTAATGACTAAATTGTGAGGATTTAACTTAGTTAGACCACAGCAAAATTACATTTTTTTTGTAACGCAAGCGTTTCCGATTAGATGAAGCAATTTCGTATCATAATCTACGATTCTACGGTATTAATAATTAAAATAAGAAAGACTCCAACACGTCTAAAGCGTACACGTAAAACTACGAGCACGAAATATCCATTATAAATATAAGCGTGTAGCATGAATAAAATAAAAGAACTTCACATTATCTTACACAGTTTGCATATGGCATAGGGTAACTTAAGTACACATGTAAACATTTTTTTAATTTAAGAATTTATCATTAATAGAGAGATAAGTAAATGTAGATTAAATAATAATTGTTATCAATAATTTAGATAACGATAGTATTATATTATTAATAATGTAATACATATATAATATATTAGATTATTAATATTATATTATTATATACTATTATTATTATTTAAACTATCTCTCTCTTCTTTTCATTTAAAAAGATTCAACTTTTTTAACTCGACAATACCATGTTGCAAATACTTCGTTTTTTGTTTTACCCACGCTACTATACGTGTCTATTCGTACAGTGAGCTAGATTACGTTGAAGCTTTTACTAAAACAATAACAATTGTCTTCCAACTTGGAAGTTCTCAATATTGCACGTTCTGAGATATGTGACGTCGCAACAAACGTCCTGTCCTGCAAGATTCATATGATTTACAAATTCATGGAGATTGCGTCGCAACTATGGATCATTCGCAACATAACGATCGCCGTTTACAGCATTCTAAACATCGTGTGTGATTTATATTACATCATACGATTCTTATGCTATATTTATCCGCGTTTAGTATCTCGAGTTTTCATCGCGCAATATTTATGCCAGATCCATAAGTTGCAATATTTCATAATAATCTACCATGCACGTCACTTTTCATGTCCGCAAATCGGATAAATCATAAAAGATCCCGATTTGACTTCACTATCGCTTATTTACGACTGTCTTCGTAAAAATCGAACTTCATTAGTATAGGTTTGCCGGAAATAGCCAGAAATTACCGTTACATTCTTCATATACTTTTAATATAGATATCGTGAGATCCATTAAACAGTGTCTGTCATACGTAATTAAATAATTCCTTCTACATCTACCGTCGACAGTAAAATGAAATATTAAATAGAAGAGTAAGTTACTTCCAGGATATGATTTTGTCATTAATAGTTTGATTAGAATCGAACTCTAATCGATTATAAATAAAAATAAAACTAATAATGGAGGTATGACATCACCAAAGTATGTGCTTTTTGAAATCATCAGAATGAAAATTACGATTGAGATCTATCAAATTGAAACTATGTAAGAATGAACTAATTTTGATGTAAAAAGACTTTCTTACATTATGAGACTAATCATATCTATAAATTGACTGCATATTCTCGACTTTTAGAACAATATAAAAAAAAAATTATATCAGCATCTCTCTCCAACTCTATCAGCATGCTTCTTCAATTAGATACTTTATAGAGAGAAAGAAAGAGACAGAGAAAGAGTTTGTGTGTGATATATGAGAGATTTAAAAACTACTTCTCTCTCATTCTTTCTGATAATGATAACTCTTCATAAGAATGCGCAGTCTTATTATGTCTGTGAGATAAATTAAGCGAAAAATGATATCGGTGATTCGATATACGATTAATTAAAGTGAAGTTATAATATATATGAATATACAAACTAATCTCTCATAATTAGATAATTCACTCTTGTGTGCGTGCGCATAAATCAATTAAATTTTATAAAAGATTTCTTTTTAAATTATACGGTTTAGGCTCTGCAGGATGTTAATCATGAAATTGTAATAATATCTACACTATTAGCATTATTACGATTTTATGATTTTTCTTAGATACCTTTCATCGCGATTTTTTATGCTAGTTTAAAAGCGATGAAAACGTATTGGTGTAATTCGCACACATATTTTGTAAATCTATATAGACGGGCTCCATATATTACACACTAATTGCCAAAATACTCGGAGCAGTAATACTCTTAATAATAACGTTAACATACATTTCGGCGAGATGATATCGTTCGAACGGTGGCCCGATAAAAAGTTGGGGGAAAGTTGTCGTCCATTATTTCATAAATGTTGCCCGCGTTATCTCGAACGTGTACTCCTTTTTACCGCGACCGCATCGTGCACCTGCGTGTTAGCGAAATGTCGCGATACAAATGATGAAATTTATCGTTTCTACATAAAAGTTGCAACATGGATAATACTCATCCATCAGACTGACAATTAGAAACATTGGTGTCTGACAATAAGGAAACTTATTTCGCAGTATATAATGGTACGAATATTCACGTGAGAAAACGTACATTCATTTTGGGAAACTTTGATTCTTGACGCATTACAAAAATCTTTTCTATGAGTAAACGCAGAATGTAAATTATTCGAAAAATTTTATCAGAAAAGTATTATAGAAAGTTTTAGAATCGTTTGATTTTTTTAGGCTACTTCTTTCGGCAAATAAAATATGTTCCTTTAACAATAATTTTCAAACATCCAGTATAATATTGGAGAATACTCTCTAAAAATAGACTAGACTTTCAATATTGGATCTAAAACAAAAAAGACATTCTATAGCATGAACTATTGTTTTTACTGAAATATATTTTGGTCCACACACATATACACACTCTCGCTTGATTCTTAACGCTTCAACAAGCGCAAAAAAGCTGATGCGCATCATCAGCATGCACAATACGTGGGCGAAACTGATGACCAAGTCGATAATTCAAGGATTGTAAATTAAAGAAGAACTGCTGCTTTTCCATAGTCGGCTTCCTCTATGCTCATTGCAAGATGTGACGTCGATTTGGAGGTGTATATGATTTTCCGTGTTTTGCGATGATAAATAATAATTAACATTTCCTAATGTTTCAGAATACAAACAGATAAGTAACAATGCCGCGATAATTACGAACTGAATTTACTTCCTGAATACAGAAGTCTATAGAGACATCGAAATGAAATATCGAAGAAGCGTCACGCTCGTTCGTTTCGATTTATCATGAGAAGTTTATAAAGACGTGGTGTAAGAATCTAATTTAATGTTGTAACAAGATTTGCTACAAATTATTTTTGATAATCACATGTCGGGAGAGCAAATCAACCGTCAATAAAAATAATTCGAAACTGCGCTACACGGCAAAGTGGTCGTTTGCTATAACCAAAAGTAAAACGTTCGAAGCGACTAAACGGGACAGGTATTGCATTCGTATGCGATGTCAGTCTCATAATTGGCAGTGAGCATTCTCGGAATACGCTACTGAGGTTCGTCTACTATTTGTTGTTCCGGTCGTTCGAGTATTTTAGTGCGATTCAAATTAGGCGTATCACGATAGTGAGGGTGGCGGGTCCAGCAACGCACTCACACATACGTACAATGTATATAAATATATGTGTATGATTGAGAAGTTCTATTCCGCGGTACAAAACGATCGACGCGAATACCTGAACACGCGTATTGACCGGACTGTCCATTTGCCACGTATCTGGATACTCGCCAGATATATGTGCGATTCGAGAATTGAATACTGAAGTGCAGTTATGCAATTTTAAGGATGTCAGATATTTATAATTTTGTTTTTGAATAATTGATAAAAAATAATGGATTAAACAAAACTTAGACGTATGTGTTAGGAAAGTACAACAAATCATGTCAAAAAACCATACAGAAATCAGAATATATATTAAAATAATAAAATTTTACTTTTTAGAGAAAACGGAATAATTCCAATCGGAATTCATTCCGAATATTTCCGTAATAGGAACGAAAAAAGTATAAAACTATACGGAATAAGATCTAAAATAAAATAAGAAAAAATGAAGTCTCAGCCGTTTTCATTCTCTATGAATGACTTATATGCACGTTTTCAAAGTATTATTAACGAGAGATATATCGAGTAGTTATAATTGACGAGTTTATCACGCAACGGTTTATACTTCGGGATAAAATCTGTGATCAGCGTATTTTGCAAATGTATACTTTTCCTTTTTTTTTTTTATAACAAATTCATTATTCTTCCCATCTTTAGAAAGGGAAGAACTCCGCTCTTGCCTCGTTATTAATTTAATTTCATGCATTCATGTTTATATTCCCTATCCGAAAAGTGCATTGGCAAATCCTGTTCTCCTAGTTTCCCTCGTACAAAAGCACGCAAACATCCGTCCCCGAGAACGAGAGCACGAAGGGGGGCGAAGAATCCCACTTAGCGATGGGGTCATAGTCGCTCGTAATCCGTTTGGAAACCTGGATCACTCGCCCCGATGTTATCCCGGACGTGGAAGTATCACAAGTCTGGAGATATCCGCGCGGGCATGAAAATCCGTTTCCGCGATTCGTCTGACAAGCTCGCACGACGAATTTCCGCCTGTTGCGAGCGAGAAAGCAGAGGCCTAACTGCTACTTTCGTCGCCGTCGGAGACTCCGCTCGTCGGGAAATTCCTGGGTCATTCCCGATCTTTGCTCAGGTCGGAAGGCAAGTCGCTGCAGCCGGACATCGCCGCTACCGCCATTGTCGTCGAAGTCGTCGTCGTGGGCGACCTGGAGGACATCCTGGAGGTCACCGGTAAGGACAATCCCGCGCTCATCGCGACGTTCAGCGGTATTGTGATGAACGGCTGGTTCGATTGCGATGAGTTCGCCACCGGTGCTACCGTACCTATAAGGAAACCGCAAGGGAAAATCAAATGAGACGCAGCATCACGAGGAGAAAAAAGTGCTACATTTCCTGCTCGACTCTATACCTTCTTTGCGATCCGATCGCTTTTTCCACTTTCGACCTATCTACGAATATCATGTTTTTGCAAAATCCGTTCGTTCTACTCGCGTAAAATCCAAGTGAAAAGGAGAACTGCCGGTAGTATTTATATCCTGATAAAACTTTTCTCCAATTACTTTAATTTTTATTAGTACAGCTTTTGTGTATGCGTATATTAGCAATAAACTCGGAAATTAAAACCTCGATGCAGCCAAAATAATGCAAAGTTTTACCCATTCAATCATTATTGGCGTAAGAAAAATTTTTGATTGAAAATAAACGAATAAAATTTTGATCACCATAATTGAACATTTGATTATCTCGATTAGAATTTTAATTGACATGCTCAAAATCTTTTTTTTTTTTTTCAAAAATCGGAAATTTTTCTCAGATATCTATAGACGATGTTTATACAGATCCATTCAAGTCAATTCTTATATTTAAAACCATATCTTAAGTAGTCTTATAAGATACGACAAACCAACCGCAGAATCGTATTAGTATCTTAAGACATTACTTAAGACGGTCTTAAAATAAGAATCAATACTGACCTTAGATCATTTAGAAAAGCCAAATGAACATTTTTTTAAAAATTTAGTAACTTCTTGCGTCGCAAAATGAAAAGTACACAAAAACGATAAAATTAATCTTTCGAAAATAAGTCGGATGCTTAACAGTATTCCTCAATTTGTCATTTACCGTTGCATCGATCTCATCTCTCCTCTTCATTATTCCTACACCGTCTCGGAGATAAGTAAATTTATGTCGTGCGAGACGCATATATTATACATTTATCTTCACGCGATCGGTAGGAACGAGCAGTTCGCGTTACGTAAATTTATTAGTCATAATCTCGCTGATACGCAATTGTCACCCGGTGTTGTCGCCGGTGATTCAGACGAGGCGGGAAATGCGTGCGAGCGATTTCTGACGAAGGTTCGTAGCCTCTCCGACAAAAAAAAAAGATTGACTCCTCGCGAATCCTCTGCCCGACTGCCCTCGTCTCGCATAAGGGCATTTCGTAATGCGTACACCGTACGACATTGCGTAAACCCCGTGACTCGCGCGCGTTCCTCCGCGGCGGAAAGAAACCTACCTCCGTCTTGAGATATTTGCACCGGTTGCCCGTTTTGTCCTATGCCGAGCAAGACCCCTGGACTGGGCGAATAAATGACGCTCTGAGGCACCTGGTACATAATCCCTGCAGAGAACGAAGGCACATTTCCTAGGAAATCAAAGAGGAATTGAGCGTGTCAGTGGTTGTAAACCGCCGGGCGATATTTCTCGCGAGAGAGAGAGAGAGAACGCACCGAGGTACGCAACGACCTCAGTTAAAGTCCCGTACGCGGTTCGGACATATTTTAAATATTTTATGTACTCTCTGCCTCCCCTTAGATATTCTGGAGTTACGAGATAACTCGGTTTTTCTCAGCGAAAAATCAACATCGACGCGCACGTATCCGAGAATGGCGAGATACGCGAATGACGTAAAATACAGAGAGAGGTATATCCCTTATTTGTATCGAAATTGTGAAATGCATCGTTCGACGTTAAAGTTAAACTTGTTTTCTCTCCCTCGGTACAGATGTATATCGTTGAGAAAAAAACTTAGGAATGACGGTCGAGTCGAGGCTTCAAACCGGACCACCCGAGTGCGAATCTGCGCTCTGATTCACCTATATATCTCTTATGAATTATTATACATTTTACATGCGTGCCTCTTACAGCGATCAGCGATAAATCTTCAAGGGATAAATTAAGAGCGAAAGAAGCAAAAAGAATAATTAAAAAAGGATTACAATCACGCACTACGAGTTCATTTACCGGGAGTAACATTGTAGTAATCTTTTCAAATTGATGTGCTCGAATATTTTCGTGAAACGTGATCTAAAGTTGTTATAGTATTATGACATTTACATCACAAGTTGAAAACAGTGTTTTTCAACCTTTTTCTGTTTGCGACATATGTCCATAACGAGCCAAATTTGTTAAAATATGTACCTCATTAAGTGCAGCATATGCTTCAGCGCTTAGTATAGATCTGTTATCAGATATCGCCAATACGACATTTAGAAAAAAGAACTAAAGATTCTAAAGTTTTTATCTTATCGTTTTAAAAGTGATTTTATTGCAACGACGATATCGGTTATGATTAAAATAGATACGATATAACATAATTTAGTAATTTTCACAATTTAAAAAATATCTTCGCGCCCCACACTCTTTTCTGTAATACATATTTTCAATTTTTCCCTTTCTTTTACCTTCTCTAAAATATTCTCGCAGTTCATCAGTAATATGCCGCAGCATAGCGATTGAAAAACTTGATCTAAAATAACAGCCATTTCGAATCTATAAATAGCATCTAACCATGTATACTACTTCATATTTAATACTCAACGGTTTACCGATCAAAATGCGTATAAGACTCTTGGAAAAAGGGTTAGTTGAAAACAAGTAATATATTCTCGTAAGATACTTGCTTCGCGTAACATATTCTCCTGAATTTTGCCTTCTGTATTCAATCACGAATCTATTAGTATTTATATCATACGCAAAACTATTATATTAACGCCCAGTGCAAAAAGCGTCTGTTGGTCTTCCTCGAGAACAATTACATTTTATTACAACAAGTTAATACAGACATCAGAAGACCCTGCATAGTATCTCGGAGCATATATATATAATTAACACGGTAAAAAGAAAAAGACATCTCTCGCATATGCGTTTCCCTCACATCCATCCCAACCGAAGAAACGCGCCTAATTAAAAGGCGCGCGGTACACATCCATCCGTTTGCCCGATAACGATGGGATCTCGCACGCGCCTTCGTTATACCGCAGGGATGATATATTATGCATTCGTCGCCCTCTCGTATACATATATATATAAGGAACATAATAAGTCAGCGGGTCGGCTATCGTCGAATTCGCGCGTCGCCGGACCGGACGGGAGCGACGGCCGCGCGGTCGGCCGAGTCTCGAGGAGGAGGGGGTGAAAAAAAAAAAAAAAAGCGCGATCGTCGCGGCGATCGGTTAAGCAGCGCGGTAGAATGGCATCCACGCGACGCATTAGCATCGATATTTATGTGTACACCTGCATCCGCGCGCGCTCTTTGCGGAGCGCGCGGCGCGGCGCGGCGCGGACGGAGCGGCTTTCGACCGGATCCTACTTCCCAGTTAGGCAACACGGTTGCCGTCTAAGTTTGGTCATCGCCGTGCCGCGCGCGACTGCTTGCGTACTCCCTACACGGATAACCCCGTCATCGCTCGCACGCCTTTCGCATTTTAAACGTCCTCTCTCTCTCCCGTCGCGCCCTCCCGCCCTCCTCCGCCGCCGCCGCCTCCCACCTTTTCTCACGCTTCGCGTGTACCCTCTTTCTCCGTCACCTCCTCTCGTGCGTCTATCCGCACCGGTGCGTCGTGCACTGCTACGCGAATGTTCACCCCGCCCGCTCGCGACGCCTCACCTCCGTATCATCCGACCAGCTGTTCGTTATCAATGTGCGATGAGGTCAAGCGCGACGCGAATGGTATCGACGACAATTAGACGACGCGATTAGCATACAGACGGCCGGCGCGGAGGAGGGCGGCTGCCCGACGCGCATAGATTTCGCGATCCGGCTTAATCTCCGTTCTTAATCGCGATCTTGATATACGTTGGGGGACGCGAAAACGGTTTCTACTTTTAGCGAAGAAAGAATATACGGTATCGCGTATGTTCTATGATACGGTTTTGCCCTCCGGTGAAACTTACGCAGCTTACGTTTATGTACATGCGGCAATTTCCAACAATTTGCAAAACGCACGTTATTTGCATTGAGAATTCTAAAATATCCATTACGTGGGAGGCCTATATCTCGCTCCATGTGGAACAGCGAAAGGTATCATGAATAATCGCGGCCGTGAATGACAGAAAATCGACGTAACCGCAGAACCTAATCCAAGCGAACCTTGCGCAAACGCTAATAATCGTGCTCGCGTATAGTGACGAATGGTGTATGGTTTACTCCGTAATAACGCGACCGATATTCAAAAGTGTTCAGTTTCTCTTATGGAGATTGGCGAACCTTGTTGACTCAAGGAAGTGAACGAATTAACGAGATCAAATCGAACGTACACGGGTATGCTGTTCTTAACCTACGTACGTTTTCTTTCCGCATATTTATTCCCAAGGACGCGATAATTTCCTACTATTTTTGAACAAATATATCGCGTGTATTTATAAATAAACGTTCGCAGCGCTTGAGGGGAAAAAAAAGAAAAGGTAATTTGTCTAACTTCAATACGAACGTGTGTATGAAACATTCTAGAAAAAAAAAACAGAATTTATTAATCAGAGCCTCCGACAGACAGTATAATAAACACTGTATTATGCAATAATAGCATCATGAATTAACAAAAATTGCGCTAAAATGATTTCCTACAAGCCAGTAATTTTGGCTGAATGAAGTTGCTAAATAATATTTGTATAAAAATAACAGGCGAGTGCAATTTTAGATATAAATATTTTATAATAACGCGAGAACGTTTAATTCTGTACTTTCGCGATTCTAATTTTTATTTAAAAAATCAACATTTCTACATCTATTTTTGTAAACATAATTACCTATAATTGCATAAACTTTTTCGCGATAAAATCGTATAACATATATTATAATTTCATAAATGTTTTCCTATTCCAAAGAGATTGTGGACATTCATTTATCTCTCCATGGAGACTTCAACATCCTAAATCCCGAACATCTTTATCTTTTGCACGAATAGAGATGCCTGATCCTGTCGAACAGTTCGAGTATATAATAATGGCAATCAAAAAAGAAGAAGTTCTCCGTACGATATTTTAGAAAGCGTACGGTATTCCTCGCGTACCAGAACTCATAGGGGAGGACGAGACGCCATCAGGCGAATTTACGAATTCTAATCCAACAGCACAGCCGTCCCCCAGATAGTGGTCCTCGCGATCCTACGGCGGCCGCGCGCGAGACTCACCCGAGTGATTAGTAATCTTGAGAGGATCCTTAGGGACGACGGTAGAGTCACCGTCGCTGCTCTCGCCGTCGCTCTCGTTGACGCAGACGTCGGATCTCGGCGACGCGCCGTCCTCCTGAAATCAAGAAAGAGAAGAGCGGGATTATCGGAGTATCCGGCCTCGAATGCGATTCGTCGCCGGCGGGGCAGGGCGAGGGTGGGATCGGAGCGATGGATAACGCGGGGGTACGCGTTCTCGCGAAGAGGATCATTCCGCAGTCCGAACGACAGCGGCGACGCAAACAGAGAAGCGTATAGATACGCTACCGCATGCTACATACGTGCGTACATACAACAAACGTGTGTACCTATACCTATCTAACTACCTACCTACCTACCTACCAACCTACCTACCTACCTACCTACCTACCTAGCGGACGCAGAGAGAGATGCGCGAGCATCTTGTTCGCGCTCCTTATATGGCCATCTCTCGCGGACTCCACTCGCGCGCGATGCACCCGCGGAAAAGAGGCATCCTCTTCGCGAATTCGCTCGCGCGACCCCTCGAAGCCGGGCGAACGCTTCTTTTCAGCGAGACTTTCCCACTCTGGCGTTTTCTTCCCGGTCCCGCTTTGCGACGGGAACTCATATAGCCGAATCCGCTCGCCGGTAAACGAGAAGTAGACCTTGATATAACGTGTAATACGTAAGAGAATCAACCATCGGAGTTTTTTGGGCTTTGTGTACAATAAACCATTATCTCAAGCCGTAAGAAATTGACCAATCATTAACTACTTTTTTTCCACATTTGACTGCGATTATAGAAAGTCCATAAGGGACTCAACCAAGTTTCTCATTTAATAAAGAGGAAAGATGCCGATTGGTCAATTCTTTTATACTTCATGCATCATGCGTTATGCAAAGCTGTGGTTCAACATTATCTCGCAGGTTTCTCACCGCTTCGAGTAATATACTAAGATTTCAGCTTCCATCTGTCTCATCTGGCCGGTTAAACGTTGACAACTATAATTTATTTTCGTGAAAGCTGACGTTGTTACAGCTGTAATTGGCGTAAACAGACGAAAGAACCCCTAACGATATATTTTACTACTACAATTCTATCGTATTATGTTCGATAATATATGTAATATACTATTTGTAAGTATTATAACTGATGATCGATTCTTCTTTTACAGCAAAAGTCAAAAGAATCTCTTCCTCGAAGAGGGAAAGAAATTCTCGAGGCTCCTCGCTACCAGTAACATTTCCACCTACACACATCGCTACGTGCAGAGAGAACTGCAAAAAATTGATTTCCTCAGTTATACGTTCCTGTTTACACTTTAACAATCTATTGTTAAAGATCTCCCGAGTTGAAGAAGCGTTACACGTTTTTCGTCTCGCAATTTGCTCCGATCGCTATATCCGGAGCGGTGGTATAGGCTGGAATGCGTGTGCGAATCACATGCTCGTCGAAACGTCGTCCGCGGGAAGTCGAGAAAGTGCGCGCGGTGCCAATTGGAAAGCTCGAAAAGTCGCGGCCGCGTTCCCTCGCTTCCGTGCTACGCACCGCGTGCGTTTCTCACACACCGCTTTTCCTACCCCGCCATTTACCGCGGGACAGGCAGGAGGGTGCGCGTGTGTGCGTGCGTGCGTTAGAGAAGGCGCGACAAAAAGCAACATTCCTGACTCTTAACTCGGGCTCTATATAAGTGTCTGCCATCGCGAACATTGCCTGTATATGGCGACAACCGGGCTTTGACAAAGGTGACCGTATATGGAACTCCGCTTCCACCTTTCGTGCGTGCGTACGTGCGTGCGAGTGCGCGGTCTCGTTCCCTCTCTCTCTCTCTCTCTCTCTCTCTCTTTTTCAGTCTCCCTCGCGGAGGCATCTCGAGGCCCGTTCTCTATTCCTCTCTCTTTCTCTCCCTCCCTCGCTTTTGCCCTCTCTCTTCTACGTGAGGCGATACACCTGGACGCGCGTCTTCTTCGTCTGCAACCCTATGGCGAACGAATGAACGAACGAACGAACGAATGAGACGACATTCATGGGTATCGTTACGCCCATTAAATCATAAACCGTGCTTTGACCTCGCAGTATTAGTTGCCCTCGGGATACCGAAAGCTCCACGCGCATTTCCGGTACCAGGAATACGCGAGCGCCATCTGCGAGTAAGGTACCCTAAGAAGGTGCACCCTCCTAGCTGAAGAAATGGACGAAGAATCAGCATAATCGCTGGAAAGAAACCCGGCAATTTGTAGATCGATACTTGCAGCTACCTTTTTCTCTTTGAAAAATAAAATAAAGAAACGATCTCTTGACGGACAAGGATGGCATTCGATCGAAAGATGAGGATCTCTCCGTGAGCTGCATGTCATCGTACGCCATCTTGACTTCGTTTCTTATCCTTTGACTTTTACTTCCGCTTCCTTTAACCGGGCATTCATTGTTCACAACTTTACTCTTGAAAATCATACAAACGCAAAAAAAAGTGATAGATATGGTCTACAAGCCACGCGCTTAATATAAACTTACGTCTCGCGTTAGTAAGTTTGACAGAGCAGCTGGATAAAGCGTGTTACGTCGACATAAAATAAAATCATGGAGACATTCAACGCATCGTTTTGTATTTTGGGATACAATATTCGTAATATCTGCATTAATTGTTACTTACTATTAAACGCTGTCTAATGTACTAACAAAACATCATGCGATAAACATTACCTACATCCATATTGCGCGTAAGAGATGCAATGCAACGTATCTGCAGTATTGCGATGGTTTCTTTATTTTTTAATGATCTCGATCTTCACGAACATACTTCTTAATATTTGACTTCAATCGAGACGTGATATCATCGACGTTTCGCTAATCGAGATCATGTTAAGCTGCTTATCGACACTCTTCGTGCACGTGTACTGTTATTATTAGCTAATTGGTGAAAAAAATACATTAAGCAATAGCCAGATGCCTCTATTAGAAGTATACCGAATGTATTATTTCGATTGAAACGCAACCTACCTTGCGCTTCGTCCTCGCACGCACATCTGTCACATCTCCGTGTCTCGAATGCCGTTGTCATTTGCCAGATTATTGCCATGCAATAACGATATTGGATACTCTCGGTGTAACATACATATGGTAGTCCTAACGCACGTTAGAAATAAAGGAGTCCCTAATATATACCGCGGAATGTGTTTCTGGACCTCTAAATATATCCCGAACCAGATTGTCAAAAATAGGCATAAGTCGGGCCCGTGGCCGAAACGCGAAATATAAGATTGTAACATCTCCGTTACTATTCAGAATCTTTAGAACGGAGAGATTCAACGAAGTATTTACGGAAGAAGTTTACGCGAACATATCCCTGGAATTATTTCAGGAGTCAGAATAATTCTCAAATTATCAATAATAGCCGAAAGTTTCACGTATAATCACATGTAATTACAGGAAAGATTTGTGATAAATATTCTTTTATACTTTTCTATACTCTCTCCTGAGATTCTTACCTCTAAAATTTCTCTGCTATTTACTTGAAAATTTAATGCTTATCTCGCATAAGCGAACAGAATTTTTTTTTTCAGTTAAAAATTAATACGAATTCGCAGAAGAAACTAAAAATTTTGAGAAATACCTACCTGGCTCGCGAGAGTGAACATGACATCGGTAAGATCGTGCACAATGAGAATGTATCAGCAGAAAATCAAGTCACTTGATCGCAGGGAATATATTGTCAAAGATGAAGGTGAAACTTGTATGTGTGTGTGTGTGTGTGTTTTCATAGGCGTAAAAATATATAAATATTATCACAGTATTTTTTACAGTTACTATGCTATGTACAAAAATGCTAAAATACAAACTAATCATGTGAAATAGCCGCATTATTCGCAGATTATCGTTAAAATCATAATCGATACCATTAATATTATTATTATTTGTACTCTCTGCATGTCGAGACGCGCGGTAGATTACAGTTTCTATATATATCTATTTGATTGGGGCCTAAAAGGCCCTCGCTCCCCGGCCTTGTTCTTCTTTTTACCTTTTGCCTTCTCCTAGGTTCTCTTTCCCACGATATATAATACAGAATATCAGCAAATAATACATACATACATACGCATGCACAACGTCGATGAATGGATTGATCCACGGGATACAGGAGAGATTGCGGGGTGGAGGCGGGGGGAGAGGGGTATGGATTAAATTAAAAGGTAATCTAAATACTAGCTACTTATTCTGCGAGAAAAGACAATCCAAATAACTACACATGCCAGTTGCGACACACAACACGTTACACGGCAAATAATAAAAAAGAAAGAAACAATGAACGAGACACAACAATGCTCAATAAAAAAAGAAATGCGTTACAGTATTAAGCGTGCACCGCCGAATTCGCACTCACACCACCGATTCGATGAATCGAATGATTGTCGCAGGATTTTTCGGACAGGGAATTTTTACTCCTCGATTTTACCGATCGATAAGACCAGTAAAGATAAATAAGTACCTCGAATCTCCCTCGCGAAGAGAGACGGAAAGAGTATTTTCCGCAGCGCATGTAAAAGTACACGACATAAAAAAAAAAAAAAAAGAGTATCGACATCGAGGCTGCGAACAACACCGGCTTACAATAACGATATGCCTTTTTTTAATAAATAAAAAATGTCGACCTCCTCAATAAATAATACGATATTTAAGTTAAATAAAAAAGAAGTAAACAAAAAACGAAATAGACAAAACTGAGAGAGCTGTGTGTTGGACGAACAAGTACTAAATAGAATACTCGATATTCTATCATTATTTTCACCGAGTAATCGATCACACGATGTTACGCTACATATTTATAATCTACAAAATAATTAATCAAACCATTAATTACATACAACGATATTTTTCCTCGCAATGTCTTTCTATCGCACGGTGATGACTCTCGTTGATGCAAATACTACCGTATTTCATCTAATATGCCGAGCTTTGGACTTCACCTACCACGGAGATCTATCCATAGTGTTCAGATATTGAACGATACTCGTCACATCTTATTGACAATCTGATTTCCGAAATCATCGATCATAGACGATCGGTCTGCGATTTGTTTCTAAAAGCGCTGATGGTGGATATGCATTCTTTCGTTATGCAGTCATTTCAAAATAGAAATCACTCTATTTTTCACATTTCAATGACGCGCTTCCGTCGTTCCACCCTTTCGCGCGCGAGAGCGCAAAATTCAAAGCACGCAATATTTAATCGAGATTCACCAATATGTACATATACACAATCTGTCTCAAAAGTTTTCGAACTTTATTAAAACATTTAATTATAATATATGATTTTTGTATTTTAAACTTTATTAATTGTTTAAGATAAAGAGTGATCTTTGTAGCAATTGCAGAATTTCTAAAATTTTTTTAAAATAAACAAAATAACCTGATTCGAAACCATGTGCATTTCACAATTTTTTTAATTGTGTTAGAATATCTTTTCAGGTTCATTTTCAACTTTGGAAAAAGAATGAAAATGAATATGGTAGATGATAAAACACACCTTCCATGAATACAGCCTTTTGTTCTATCATTTTTTTGTACAAATGTAAAAAAGTCTAACTTTTAACATATCACAACAAATAAAGGGTATAAATAATGTAGAGAAAAACATAACTCTATAAAGTTTGAGACATTTTAAGTTATAAAAATCATTCCAATAGACTATTTCAATAGATAACCTTAGATAACTTGTAGAAAAAAAGTTCGATAACTTTATAGATAGATCATAAATATGTACATATACACACATATATATGTATATATACATATGTATGTGTGTAACACGCGTGGATATATATTTAAGTATATACAGTTAAGTAAAAACGTGTCGAAAGATTGGACTAGATTTGCGCGCGCGGAATCAATCGTGGTCACACTGAAAAAAAAAATTAAATTCAAAAAAGATATTTGTTTGAATAGTTCTAAGTTTACTAAATAAATATATATAATTTATTCGATACACATACATGTAAATATATATTCATTTTTGATCCATAAACAATTTTATTTAACTATCATTTTTTAAATTTTAAATAAATTATACTTATGTGCTGGAAATAAACGTTTAATTAGTACTATTCAAAGAAATATGTCTTACAAATTGATAGATTTTTTTCAGTACGTGTAAGACCAAACGATGAAGAATACTCGATCGCAAGGGAAGCCTACAATCTTTTGCGCGCCCATCGTATATAATTTAATAAATATCATACGTGACTCTATACGGCACGCTCGCC